TATAGAGTCATGAAAACATTTAAATAATTTTGTCTAGAAATAAAGACATTACCGAAGAAATGTTACTATATAAACAGTAGACATCATTCTATAAATGTTGCAAAGAGATGTGAGACTTCACAAATATTACAGATAGATATCAATAAGACTCGACAAATATATCTAGAAATATACAAATTACTGATGTTAACAGCAAAGATATCATGAGAAATAGCTCCCACTCTGCAAATTTTATCATCTGATATTAATAACATATATACAAAGGATGACAAGATAGGTGGCCACAACTTTACAAATCTAAAGCTTTGAAATATTTTCAAGGACTTTTTCACGTGATATGAAATATTATCAAGAGAATTGAAGAGCTATCCATCCGAGTTTATATATCTTATAAAAAGATAAAGTACTACCTTATAAATGCCCTTCTTCTCCAATGGTTCAGTGGAAAGTCTGATGGGTTATAATGCTAAAATTCGGATTTCTATAGCCACGGTGGGCCTATCTATAGCCTTGAAAAAGTTGACGACTCTACATGAATTACATGACAATGATAAAGTATTTATAACTTGTTAGTAGGTCCTGTGACCTGTATGCTATTCACATATATTCACGCTAAATCATTCAAAGGAGATCAATCCACATTCTTGCAGAAATATTCGCCATACCTTCATCTCTATTTAAACATAAAACATAAAAAAGATAATGTAGTATTAAATAGCATCCAGGTCATATGACCTACTAACAAGTTATAAATACTTTAACATTGTCTTGTAATTTACTCCTGAGGATGACGTTGCAACGTCGAAACATGTAAAGTTGTCAACTTTTTGAAGGCCAAAGATAGCCTAAATAAAATATTTTTAATTGTGTACCAGTTTTAACGTTGAACATTATTAACCAAACTACAACAACTTTTCCGCATTTGTATGTCACTTGCAATCAGACAAACATTTTTTTTTTTCCAATAAAAATATCCCAAAAATATTTCTGCCGTTGTGTGTGTGTGTGTGTGTGTGTAAGGGGGATCCTCATAAAGTGGCCCATCAGAAAGCACAGAAATCTGAAAGGTTTTTTTTCAATGCACATGAAAATCGTGTTGCATGTTTATGTCCCACCAATGAAAAAAACAAGCAAACAAAAAAAAAACAACTACCCACCGAACGTCTTTTTAAAAAGTACGTGCAAGAGTAAAATTAACGAAGTGGGTAAGTTATTCAAAAACATATACAGATATATTGGAAGTGGGATGGATGTGAACTAGTGAGCATACCCAAACAGTGAGTACAAGGGTTCAAGGTTCGCGAGCCGTTGCTTCAAAAACGCGCCCCCGCATTTAGTGGCTATGTTGTAAAAATGACGACCAACTCTCACTATTCGATAACAGCTCAACAGTAATACCTTTCCTTTATTCTGTTACACTAAAATTAGTAAAGGCTATGTTGCGCAAATAACTATTCTATAGCTTTGCGAAAATTCTATACAAACGAATTAACAAATATCGGAAGTACACCGTCTAGACATTTACAATACAAACATATGCGAGAAGGACGGATGTAAAGCATTCACCAGTACATATGCGTATATCAGCACAACTTATAAAATATATTCACGAAATATATCAAAATAAACGTATCAAATATTCAGATATGGAAATATTTTTAATAGTAGGACACGCGTAACATAGTCAAAATACACTTACAAGTATTAGCAAGAAATGTTTCAGGTATTCCAAAATGTACACACAGATAAACGGTACTTACAAATACCCAAATAATTATAAGTAGGACGCATCATCAAATATGTCATCAAATACATGCATACCTATCAGTAGAGGATATCAACGAATATATCAGTAGATCACGTGTACGGTGCTTAAAAAGCATACACGCATATGAGCAGCTAGGATATACATATATATATATAAACGTAGGAAATATTTACAAATATGAACCTATACGTAAAAAGCAACCCAACTACCCAATGGTAGTTAGAGTGCAGATTACTAAATAAACTCTAGAATATCAGGAGGATTGAAATAAAGAATTCCCAAATACACCACTCTACGTGTTAAAATTAAAGTACGCCCAGTGGCTCTATTAAAATGTGTTCGGTATTAACCTTTCATCACGCAGGGTGAAAAAAAGCAAAAGTTTCTGACCATTCCGGGTTGTCTTTCAGGCCCCAAAATCTTTTTTGAGGGTTGAAAAATTTTTAGCCCTTAATTCCTGCAACAAATTAGGGGTTGATTTGACACCCAAGATCATCAGTAGGACTCGTATAATGCATTCCTAAATAAAGGCAAGAATATTACTAAGACTTGCATAAGACACTCACTATTACATGCATATTAAAATGATATGGCTTGCAATCAGAAAGCATGATAACCACGGACGAATACATCCGTATATCAATAGGATAATAATTTGATATTCATCAATACAATACGCATACAGCAGCAGAATACTTTTACGATATTCACAAATGCATACGCATTTTTTAATTGGTCACGAAAAACTCACAAATATACTCATAAGGAAGTACTCGGACAACAGCAAGAGAATGACTGGATTGTCGACATTACAAGCGATGCATCTCAGCAGAGATAGAGAAAGATAAAAACCATAGCGCATCCCCCTGCAACAGAGAAGGCTATCCTGATTGATTGAAATCAGCAGGATATATGTAGGAGACAAAAACGTAGAAATACGCATATCAGCAGGACACGAATAAACTTATAAGGTACTGAAAAATATCAACACATATGTTATCAGCTGGACATATCTAAACATTGAAAAACAGATATATCAGTAGGACAAGTGCAAGACATTCATAAAATATTTCAGTTTTCTAAAAAACTAGCAGTCCATGTGTAAGATAATGAGAAATACGTGACATACATCAGCAAGAGATATGTTTCTCACAAATAGCCCAAGTATATCAGTAGACCATTTTAAAGCTATTCATAAATGCTTACACATATATATCAGTCAGTAAGATACGAGTAAGATGGAAAACAAATATATTTATGTATGTATGCAGTACACAATTTAAAATGCTGAAAAATACAAACTCATACCGATCGACAGCATACATTTAAAACACTTTTTAATATATACACATATACTAGCAAGACATATAAAGATATTCATATCAAGATTAGCCGAACACTTGCCAGATACTTATATATCAATTGAAATATATCATCCTGATAAATGTAACTGAGAAATATATATCAGTAGAGCTTTTGTTAGTTATTTATGCATTCACATATCAGTAAAACGCATACTTGTAAAATATACTGAGAAATATATATCAGTAGAGCTTTTGTTAGTTATTTATGTATTCACATATCAGTAAAACGCATACTTGTAAAATATACACGTATATCAGCAAGAGCCATATACTATTTTCATAATTACAAACACAAATATCAGCAGGAGATATGTAGAATATTCAGACATAGAAACACATATATTAACATGTCACGTGGAATATTTCCACAAAAATATATACACAGATATCTTTAGGTCACATTTACATAATTAGATATATATATATATCACCAACACATGCCAATGACATTTAGTAACATATATGTATTAGCAATATACACCTGTAACTGTACAAGTACCTATCTCACACTTTTAAAATTTCTTGAAATGATACTATTAAAACGCTTTGCCAAAATGACTTATTAATACTTTAGAATATATGCAATGTAAGCATTATGCAAGTCAGATAAATAAATAAAGTATTCATTGAATCGAAACGGGCACGGGTTGGTCCTCTCTTAGAACCTTTTGATTTCGAACAGGCGAGCCGGGTTCGAATCCGTGTGATACCACGAAATATTCCCCGCATTTTGAACTGTGGATGCGTTTTAAGAGAGTCACAGAATCCCTTAATTAACGTGGATTGCTGCTGACTGGCTGCCTTCCCTCTGAACAGTAGCTCAGGTTCAGGGACAGTGGCATATAGTCTTAGTAGTTTTGCTATAAATACAAACTACACAGTTGAAGCCCAACTTATCAATATCAACTAAGTATTCATATGCTTAGAAATATGCATGTATGTTGTAAGAAACTAGAGAGCAATAAAAAGAGCAAAAATGTTTTAAACATAATACCCGTATAGCAGTAGATAATAGCTATACTGGTAATACGTCATGATTTCAGATACTTCTGCATAAGAATGAAGTTTAATATATATAAAGTTTCTATGTTTACAGATTAATGTTTGAATCTGTTTGGAATACGAGTACAGATTATATTTTGAATGGAGTTGTAAATGCTGTCTGTATAGTTGACAAGTCTCGAATACGCAATATGCCACACTGACATGTTAATGTATGGACCAAGTCATTACTATAAATTTCATACAAACTATCGATTACAGGTAATGTTACGACAAAGGTTGAAAAATTAAACCGAATTTAATACTGACATATACCAAAAAATTAAATTACGTTTCATTTTCAAAAGAGGTAAGGAAGTATTATGTTGTAAAATCCAATAGGTTGGAGTGCAGAACTTACCGCGTTTAACTTGAAAGTATTCTGAGTCTTTAACTTCCTCTGCTTGCTCTTGTAGTCTCCCATTACGTAGACAAGTTGTTTTCTTCTGTCACTCTGTCTTAAGACTGGAAGATACCAATGAGAAGTGTGAAAAAATCTGTGACGTCACTTTACGTCATTCTTTCCCGATATATACCTGGATACATGGAGGCAACTGGTTAATGCATTTGAAATACTCCTGGCAGCTAGAGCTATAACTGACACACTGCTGTCAGCACATCACACGCGAAGTGAAACTGCAGGAGAAGAGCTGTTCTTGAGAAGATAGGCGGCGTAAGTGTTGAGAAGTGCAGAACTTTTAAAGAAATTATTGAAACAAATACACAAGCGAAGAATTTGTTTATCTGTTGTTTGAGCACCGTGCATCACATCACGAAGAAACATTACGCTGAGTGGTCGTACATGTGAAACGTGGATGTGCGCTCCGATGCAGGACTCTGGAGCGTCGGAACTCGGCAGACCGAGCTGGGGCGTCATGACCGGCGACTACGTTCACGACTTCGACTTAGATCAGCTAGAAGAGGTCGTGAAACAAGAAATGGAATCTCGGGCGAAATTGGGAATGACAACTTGTGTAGTAGGGGATAGTGGTCACATTGCAGCTACCATGGGGCCAGCTTTGAGCCCCAATATTAATCATATAGCAGTAACCAATCATTTGAGAGGAATAGGTCCAGGACCCAGGAAGCTCGTGGCTCTAGCAACCAGCACCCCAGGAACACCCCCTGACACACCACCTTCTCCAGCTTTTGCCACGGTACCCACGTCAGCACTATCGAGTCCAGTTATGCCATCCTCCACCATCGACCCTAAATCACCAGGCCTAGTGGAAGATAGCATGATGTGGTTGACTCAGACTTTACGCTATGGGGGTTTCACTTCTCAGGAGCCACTTGACCTGCGACCACAGTGTGGCCAAGAGATGGATACTTCCTGGTTCATGCGGCGAGAATTTCCAGAAGCACCGACGTCCGTAGTGCATTCTTATCAACCTCCACCATCTGAACGTACCCTCATCAGCTCTTGTACTACAAGTCAAGTACCCTGTTCCACACCATTCCAATCCCTGAACGGAGCCCCAGGATCAGGGGTTTATTGTCCTACACCCACAACTAACCATACCTCCCGTGACCTTCGTTTAAATGACGATATGCTTATCCGCATGTCAGTACGTGAACTGAACAAGCGACTACATGGATACTCACGCGAGGAAGTGGCCCGCATCAAAAAGAAGCGACGGACGCTCAAGAACCGAGGCTACGCCCAGAACTGTAGAACGAAGCGACTGTCTCAACGACATGAACTAGAGGGAAAGAATCGGGTACTGCAAGCTGAGGTCAACCATCTGAGACAGGAGTTAGAGCGTCTTTGTCAAGAAAGGGATTATTACAAGCAACAGTTCACTGGATTACGAGGGAGAGAATGTTCTCAAGGGTCCATCTCAAGTTTCTCCAGCGGAGGAGGAAGTAACCCCAGTTCTCCAGAGTTTTACATATGAATTCTGGATCATTGTGGCTATATTCATAGACCTCTAGCTTAATGGTTTGACAAAACCTTATGTGTTACTATTACAACCGACTTATTGACAAAACACAGGAACATCCGAATTCAGATGTGTAATTGCTGATTTCCTACGCTTTGACCTTTTTTAAACTGTTGCCAAGTCACACGTATGCAAACAGTGTATGATCAAGAATCAAGAAATGACTAGATCGTTTCAACCTAGGTATGTTTTAGGAATATATAAACTAAAGAGGGTGACATTATACTGTATGTTGAAAAAAACAGTCTTAGGTTTCTTTGCGGATCTCGTAAGATTGTACAAAATTAGTTGAACTAGTGAGATAAACTTTTCTTCGATATCAATGTTGTGTTTTACCAGCAGTGTGCAGATGGAATGTATCTATCAAAAATTCAAGTAAAATAACATTACAGAGTTGCATTCTTCAAACTGTATATAACACATTAGTAATGTAGAGAAAGGATTGTATAGAATTATAGAGAGTACAGGCTTAAGTCTGTTGTATCGTTCGAGCAACTCGAATAAAAGATCGCTTTGTGTAAGGTTGTATAAGGAATAACGTGATTAAATAAACCTTCATCATTTCAAAAGTTTCTGATCTTCTTCACAATTACTAACAATGTTCTATATAAAAACCTAATATTTTTATGTCATCCGGATTGTGTTTTTAAAATAAAGAACAGTTCATACCGAATATAAATATTCTTATATAAATACAAAGGTCGGATGTTGTCAAGATATTCATCCAGAAACTACCACTAAGCTTATTAGCTGTGATTAGCCGTTTCTCTGATTCTAGATCTATAACCAAGTACGATGATTTGAAAAACAAAGAGAATCATCTAATAATACAAAAGTGCATTGTCTATTTTACAGATACAATCACGTTTTAAATTTTGTGGGTTTTTTTGTTTTTAGAGCAAAACCACATTGGGCAATCTGCTGTGTTCATCGAGGGGAAACGAACCCCAGATTTTAGCGTTGCAACTCCGTAGACTTACTGCTGTCTCACCGAGGGACCACGTTTTAGATATACGCTTTTCAAAATTTGAAACTTTCATCAAACACTGAAGATAGAACTTTCTATAAATGCTCTGGTTTGTTGTTTAATCCTTAGGTTCGTGCATTTCTAGTGATTTATTTGTACGGAAGAAAGTTGTAACAACAACAAAACAAAAAATCCAGAGCTAATATCTTAAAATGAACGAAAGTAAATAAGAGTTTTAAGTTCCTTCTTTGTAAACAGCCATTTTAAGGATAGATTTCATTTTTATTAAATTATAAAAGCACGCTTAAACTGAAAGCTGGTTAACTGTGCGATTTCCTGTGTTAACACCTTTTCAAATGTTCTTGTATTACGACCTTTTTCATATATGTGTTCAAAATAATCTAATGCAGTTGATTAAAAGCATTCTGTACCATTTGTTTCAGACATTTCATTTAAGTTGTAATGATCTGTATAGTTTATCTGTTTGTTTCAACGCTACAAAACATTTCCTAAAAAACCAACAACATAATTTCAGTAAATTTGTTTCAACACAACATAATAAGGTTAAGTATAGCGGTTCATAGAATAGCTCCGAGTTTGTTTGTTTCTTTTTCAATTACAAATGTTTAGCTCAAGCTCTGTCATATCTTGACCGATTTGAGATATAATTACAGTTTTGGACTCAGGAGGTCAAACTATTTCGATTGATGTATTTGACCATGCCCAAGATCTCATAGATGAAGTTACTCTAATCCTGCCTAAAATAATTTCAATTTGAGGGTAGGTTGGTAGAGATCCTTACGAGTAATAAAATCTAATCGGATATACGCACTCCCCAAGTTTGGTATTTAAAACCTTAGTGTTGTTTTTACATCTTTCAATACTGCTCGTTAACTCCATATCGCTGAAAAATACCTCTATTGTGAAAAGTTACGTCATTGAGGCCACAACTGTCATACCTGAAGCTTTGATATTTGTGATTTGGCTTCATAATATATCAACCCATTTTTAAAGCTACCTACTCACCTATCTACCGATTTTCAATACTTTTATTACCTTTAAAAACTTTTATTACTTACCTATCTTTTGTTCTTAATGCCTTAACTATCTACTTATTTATCAACACATCTTTAATGTTTAAACTATCTACTTCCCTATCTGCCCATGTTTAAAGACTTAACTATCTACTTATCTAATAACTCATCTTTAACGCCTTAACTTAATGCTCATTTATCAATCCATCCTTAATGTCTTAATTACTACCCATAATTAATGCTATTTCTACCAAGTTACCTATCTACTTAACTTTAATACCTTAACTACCTACTCACCTCTCAACTCATCTTTAATATGCCTCAGCTATCTATATACCTACTCCCCTATCCTAAATGCCGTAACTTTCTAGTTAGGTGTCAACCCATCTTTAATGCCTTAGATAACTACTTATCTACTAATACATCTTTAATGATTTTACTACATATCATTTTCAATCAGTCTCCAGGTGTCACCTTTATTTTACTTAAACACTTAAGTATAGTTTCAAATATATACATATATTTATCCATTTCTAAAGTAAAATATCCCTAACATGTTTCCACACACACGCTCGCTATCGGCTACAGTGTACCGGAAATGAAACGCTCACAACAGTACATAGAGAAATATACTAAACATTTTCTGGAATACCGGATGACCTTTATGACGTCACTAAACTCCCTTTATATATATATATCACTCATTCGATTACACCACTATTCCCAGTTTGCCCCTGAAGAAGAAAGGTCCACCTTTCGAAAGCTTTCAGGTTATAGGGTTTTTATTCCTTACTATCTAACAATTGTTACGCGATAAGACTTCTTGCATATCAAAATTAACTGTTTGCATAATTGTATCTTTTCATCTTCTTACAGTTAACTTTATATCTTCATCTACTTATCTATGAATCTACTCTTCTCTCGCTCAAAACCTTTGTACTTGAAATTGTTCTTATGCCGGGATCTCTTTGAACGCATTTTTATATGTTTCTCTTTTCTTATTCAATATTTTGAGTTGAAAGTCTGAAAATAATATTTAACGTATTTACGTTAAATGTGTTACGTCTTTTCTGTTATATTTTAGAGTGTACTTGGTTTTTGTAGAGATAATTTGTTTTGTAAACTTTTTTCCAGTAGGACTTTTTATTCTTGTGATTAATGCGTTTGTGTTGCTGAAAATTCACTTCATTAAAGCCACTATTATTACACTACCTACTTTATTTTGTAGAATTTGTACTTGTGATTGCTTGTGGTATTGATTTCGGTAATGCGCGTTTTTATTCAGAATTCGTTTATATATCAAATATAACTAGTTTTTAGTAACGTTAGCGTTTTTGGTGTAATTTCTTGCTGGAGGTTTGATGTGATAATGACAGTATGTGATTTGATGTGACGTTATCCTCTCTCTATATAAAGAAAACGAACTTGTTGTAACAATAGGAGACAACTGAACATGATTAACACTCGTCCAATTCGTTAGTATTAAAGAGGGTCCTGACGGCTTTGGAGAAATAGGTTTACTACCTAACCTGCGGCAATCCTGCGGCTCATTAGTTAGCCACATGTGACCGCTAAAGACAAAAGCCCTCTGTGTTCACCGGAGAGTTGAATGTATACTCGTTATATAATGATAAATGGCAATTTGCGTCATTAGGTGTTTTATATTTGGTACAAAAAACGGTTCTATGATAATATCGGGTAAGTGAGCTTAGTCGTTAGAAATTTAGTCATGGTGATTTTGGATTTAAAGTGAATGATGCTGATTTGTTGAAAAAATTGTTTCTAAGGCTCTAAAAAATCCTTTCACTGATGTTTAATATCACTTATCAAAAATCTAAGGTTGGACTAAAGATTGGTTGTAATTGTAACAGATTAGAACCCAGATTTCATCTATAAGATAACTACTATTTTATGACTCAGTGTGTCAGTATTTTAAAAAAAGCAGCTGTTATTTGAATAGGAGGTAACAATATGACTATATCGAAAAAAATAAGAAAAAACTATTACTTGAATTGGAATAGTAGAATAGTATCTAGACCTTGATAAAAATCTGTAATGTGAATCGTTTGTTTCACTTTGTAATAATATAACTTGTGACGGATTTATTATTACATATTTATTTTAATAGCGATGTTTGTTTAAATTAAATTATATTTACAAATGTACATAACTTATATTGTTAAATATGTATTGCAAAACTCCAGCCTATCTCGAAAGTTGTAGAAGATTCTCGAGTGTAAGAATCAACAATATATGTTTGTATGTAAAAACGATAGTGTACCGTTTGTATTTTTGCGTTAAACTGAAATTTCGAGAAATTCTCAACATGCCTATAAATATAACCAAAGCGATGCGCCTAAAAAAAACATTATCTGTTTTTGGATTGCTGTAATTGGTGGGCTATAAACTTCGTAAGTTATAACTGTGATTAACTCTTATTAATCGGGATCTTCAGATATATTGACCAGGAACGTTTATAAATTGCGAACATTTCAAATCATTCAACTTCAGTAGATTAACATCGGACATTAGTACTTTTACAAATAAATTATATAACTTCAGTGGTAACAACTCAAGCTCGACCTGTAATCAGCGTCTGATCAGCGAGGCTCACATTATTAGCTAGCTCCCTATTAAATGAATTGTACCTACGTCAACTCGAAATTAACTCGCTCATCGTGAACCCTTGGTAAGACATCAAGGAAGCTCCAGACAAGAAAGAAGACTTTGTATTGCTTGTATGTTTGTGGAACTTTTGTATATAAATCCTTGTTTGTAATAAGTATTTGTAATAACTGTTATTGTAAATTGTATTGTTGTTTATATATTAAAACATGTTTGTGTAAAAAAAGAAAACTGTGTATATCAATCTTGTTGGCAAATATTATAAATTGGAGATATATCGGGATTTATTTAACTAATAAATTTAAATTACGTTAAGCTCGGTTTCAGAC